GTGAGTATACTATGTGAGAGAGAAAAGGTTCCATGTAGGAGGTCAATAACCCATTCCAACTATTTCTAGCCTTAAAAAAAAAATCAAACTCATCAAGATGAAGAATAATTAAAATGTAATATGAATGACAGTTGAAAGAAAAAAAGAAGTTATTTAAAAAAAAAAAAATTATGCAAGGTTCCATGAGAATCAACAAAGTTGCATTTTTGTAACATCCGTGACAAGAAACTTCATGTCTTTTACCGAAGAAAAGAACTTCTTGAGCAAAGGGCATAATTCATACAAATATAGATCACACTAAAACTATTAAGCATAACAAACATTTTGTTCCTGGAGATGATTTTATTTTTATTGAGTTCTTATATATTTATTTGCCGACCCCATTTGATGGGACTTAAGGCTTGGTTTGGTTTGGTTTGGTTTGGTCTAGATATATTTATTTCATTTTCTAGACTTGTTCGGTAAATCAATTTTCTATTCAAGAATGAGCTACTAATTAGCTGCCATGGGTAGACTGCATATAAAAAAGAAGTTATTTGCAAAAAAGTATGAAAAATTATGAGAATCAACAAAGTTGCATATAGAAACTTGGCTCAACAAGACCTGAATCCCATATATTAAACTCATATATACCTGCCACATTGCAAGACAAATTGTCAATTTAATTCTTCAACATATCCAATCAACTAAGAGTTATAATCCACAATGATAGTTATACCTGCCACACTACAAGAGAAATTGTCAATTTAATTCTTCAGCATGTCCAATCAACTAAGAGTTACAATCCACAATGACAATTACTTTAGTAAGGATCAAAACCCAAGCAAGGGCCCTGATATTTGATAATATTTCCAAGTTAATATGAACAATATAGAAAAATCTAGCTGAAATCCAAAAATTATAGAATCCAAAAGCTTACTAATTCAACAAGGACAATAAATTGGTAGACCGTGGAATTAAGATACCCGGCCAACAGATTAAAAGATCTCAATTCAAGTAATGTTGAACAACAAAATAATCTTACTTTTTCTACACATAGAATATATCATTCACTTTCCACACATTTCATTTGTTAAATTCAACAATGGTCATGAACTAAACTAAATTTTAACCAAATCACCATAACATGCAAAACCTATAAATATTAAAATCATATATTTTTAAAAAAATACATTAAACCCATTATCACCAAATAGAGAAGAATATAGCCAATTAAACCTATTAAGGAAGAATTGACAATGTCCTTCCAAACACAAACAATTACCCACCACTTTCCTACATTTATTTGTCTTCATTCATTTTGTCATTTTTTTTCCTTTTTTCTTCTTGTGTTCATCAATATCAATTCCCCCTTTCTTTCCTTTGTGCTTGTACAAATAGAGTTGGGTTAACAAACCAACTATGCAATGCAAGTGTGCATGTGTGTGTTTTCAATTATTAAAGCACACCACATATTCTATAATTAACTTGGAAAATGAAACTATGACTACAAGGAGCAGAAGTAGAATTGATTTAGAAGTGTGAAAGAGATGGAGAAATTGATCGATCATGAAAAAAACATAATGTTGGTGCATGCCAAAAATCGATTAAGAGAGATTTTTAGGGCTTCTCAGAAATTGATTTGAGAGAGAGAGGGGGGATTATTGTTGCAGATGGAGGGATTTTGAGTTTTGGAAGTGGTAGGGGTGTGGGAGTTAGGATGAGGCTTTGGTAGAGGGAAATCATTGAAGTGAAGAGGGCAAATAGAGAGAGAGAGAGAGAGAGAGAGAGAGAGAGAGAGAGAGGTCCATATATACCTGATATCTATCTGGTTGGAGAGAACACCTTTACTTCAACGATGGAAGCCAATAGAGGCTTGTAGTCCATTGTGGCTGGAACTCAATAGAGGCTACTAGTTATTGCAAGAAATTAAGGATTACACAGAGATGGTGAGAGCAGCAGAGGAGGAGAAGTGAGAGACAAAAAAGAGGGAAAGAAGCATAATTGTTGTGGGTGTGGGGGAGTGAGAGGAAAATAGGAGGAGAGAGAGTTAACCGGTTGCTCAGGTTTCTGCTTTTGCTGTTTTTATTTTATTTTATTTTATTTTTTCTACCGTGTTCTTCATTTTGAGATTAGAGATGAAATTAAGAGAAAATTATAAGCAGCCGTGACCTCTTTGTTTTTCATAGTAATTTTAAGATATATATATATATATCTTATTTTATAAATAATAAAATAACCTCTTAATATAAAAAGATAGATATATATCATTCTTTATCATCTTACATTTTCTTTTATTTTTTTAACCAAATTTTTTTTTTATCCAAAAAAAGATTACTCCTATGGTATTTAAATATTTTTTTATGTGTATATATAATTCATATATCATATTATACATATATATATATATATATATATATATATTTGTATATATGATAGAAAAAAAATTATTTTTCTTTTAACCTCACCAATAATAAAATGTTGGTTTCATCCTTGGGCACAAGTACGACATAATGATCCCCATTATCTTCAATTTGACTTCATCCTTCAATTTGAGAAAAATGTGCAGTGTAAAAGGAATCTTTTAGTTGTTCCTAATGCTGAACTGTCCAAAACCTTTGATTAAACTATGATTGCCAGCAAACTTTCCTACTTCCTTGGGAGAAATTATTCAATATTCTCAGAGTATTACATATCTGTACTTCTTAGTCAATAAACCCTAGCTTAGACTAAGTTTCCAACGTAAAAAAGAAAAAACACTAAAAAAAATCTAATAATAAGCCAAAAATGATACCCCAGCTGCGTAGGTCGCATTACCTTAATAAACAGACTAAAGTTTGAGTCTCTCTACCTTACCTAACAAAAACATGACAAAGGAAAAGAAAATACAATCAAAAAATTTTATAAAAGAAGAAAAAAAAAGAAAAAAGAAAAAAATGAAGCAAGAAGAGAATAGAGACAGAGGACAGTATATCATGCAACACTAAACTCAGGCTGCTATCCGGCTCAATTTCCCCAAGTTTTAGTTTGGAAAGCAAAGAGCATGCAGGTCGGGCCTCCACCAAGGAAACACAGCCACTATGGCACTTGTTTATCTATCCTAATAGATGTACTTATCAAAAAATTAAATAAAATTGAATTTCATTAAGGCAGTGTCATGTTACTAAGTGAACAACCTCAACCTCATCATAGGGCACAATCAATGCTAGAAACTATCAAGTTGTGCTAGATACAATTTAATTTATGAATTCAATTTTACCTTTCATTTTGGAATGGCTTCCCAAAAATAAAAGTAGAGGTGGAGATTATAAAATGCTAGTGGATGAAGTCAAAGCAACCCAACATAGTGTGAAAACCCACATGCACTTGCTGAGGGCTTTATTTTTCCAGTCAAAAAGTCTTATTCAAACTTGAAAACTAAAGCCATAGTTGTGTAAGTATCAATGCACCTTCCCTATTAACATCCACCCAACCCTAGCTTCATTAAATTAACCTCATAAACCCTAGCTTCATCAATTAACAGCTTTCAAAACTCAAAATTATACAAAATTAAAAAACTAAAATCAAAACCCTAGAAACTTTTGTGTTCTATACCAAACACTTGAAAAAACGTACACACAAAATCAACTTACAAAACCTAAAGAAACAGAACAAGAACACTCCGGATTTATAGATTAGTATAAAATAAGCATCAATCGACCAAAATATAAATTAAAATTACACTCTTAACAACAATCAAAATGATAAAAATTGAACAAATTTGAATGAACCAATGAGAACACACCTCACGCACAGATAATCAGTGTGCTCTTGAAAGCATCTTCAATGAAATTGAAAATGTACAATAACAGAGATTGGGAACATAGCTCTGTTCGTTATGAGAGAGAGAGAGAGAGAGAGAGAGAGATTTGCAATTCGCACCTCCAGAAGATCGTCGACTGTCAATTGAGAACAACTTGAAGGAACTTGATTCAGAACAACCTGAATTGCCTATTTACCATTGCTCCACGAGCATTGAATAATTTCTCCTATTTACCAACTGAATGAAAATCAAAATCAAGTTATACAGACAATTTAATCAATTAAAAATATATTAAGTTAACTATAATGGATATAGAAATAATCCCAACCCCAAACCTAATTTTTTCAATCCCTAATTTTTCAATTGAAACCCATGAGGCCATGAAACAAATATTACATTCACACGGTAAATAGGCAAGAGACGAGATAAAATATAGAAAACAAAATTAAGAAAAGAGCAAGTAAGACAGTAAGTAACCAACTAGGCAAAGAATCCATTATTAGATATAATATATCAAATTCTACCAACAAATTTCACCCAATATATCTTATAATCAAGTTGTGCGAGAAACAGTTTGATTCATGGAATTGCCTATATATCGAGAAATAGAGCTTTAGGGATTTCAAGCCATACCTCTTCAATGAGAACTCTTTTGAACCAATAAGCTACTGGAGAAGACATAGATCTTCAAGAAGCCTTCGAAAGCAAGAGACGAGAGTGACAGATGAAAACGAGCAAGAGAACGGACAGAGAAATCAGAGAGAGAGAGAGAGAGAGAGAGAGAGAGAGAGAGGGAGAAACCATAGATTTGGAGCAAGGGGAGAAATTTTTAGGGATTTCAGAGCCCTACCTCTTCAATCCTTGCACAGCCTGCGACTTCGATCTCCATTCATGGAAGACGACCAGAGAAGAGAGAAGGGAGTCCTGTTTAGCCAAACGATAGAGAGAGAGAGGTGACTGATGAAAGTGGAGAGAATGGCTAGGAAAGTTTCAACCAGTTTGGCAGGTAAATGGTATAAACTGTATAAAATATTGAAGGGTTTAGATTAATTTAATCAAATCTAATGGCTGAGAATTAACTTGCATATTGTGTGTAAGTTTCAAGCCTTGCACACTACAACAGCTCCCATTTGTTTATTATTCATAATAGAAAATCAGTTGTACAAATACTTTTCAATGTGTATTCATACATGACTCATATGCCCATTATAGAACATGTCTAGTTGCTATACTTGGTCTTATAGTCACTCCAAAGCTGATCAACTATCTTTCCCAGCAGCTCAACAAAGTAGTCAGCACTATAACCATTTCTTATCTTCTTGTTAAGTTCTGCCACAAACCCATTTCTTATACTGTCACAATAGTCCAAAAACCGGGCTATAACATTATAACCCTGATCCCACTGGTTTCCCTGCCCGGGCTTCATCCAGTGACTTGGTGCATATCCTACCTTCAACCTCACAAAATCTGCAACACCTTCTATCAGTCCTCTAGGAGCAACAGTTTGGGGGCTCCTATCCCACTGCCACACGTGCGTCATCTCATGATACACCACCCCGGTGATCTCAGTTTTAATATCTCCCAAGTACCTTTGTATGTAATTCGCGCTAATGTGGATCTCATCATCTCTTGTGTAGGCGACGCCATTCATGGTGTCAATGAACAGGCTCACTTTCGCCACTTTCTTTCTGTCTGCATCGGTGTTCTCTTGGAAGACGCACCATATGAATATGTGGTAGAGATTAGTGTTCACTAGGTGTAATTGAGCCCGATTTCATTTGTGAACTGGATTCCTCCGGGGGTTTTTGGTACATTGTTAGTGACGTTGAATTCGACTGCATGAGTTCCTTGCATGGTGGCAGCTAGAATCACTAGAAAAAAAAGGAAGAACTTATTGGACATGACTATATTGTTTTTTCTTTTTTGTTGTAGTCTGACTATGCACTATAAGATCATTTATATAGAAATTGGTGGCCTCTGATTTGCGGAGCCAAATATTTGACGTTACCCGTACTCCTTTTGTCCAAGCTGTGCTATACTTCGATTGACCTGAGAACACAATGAAGGTGAGTTACCCAGCGGTGTGCTACCGGAAAACCCTTTCGATGATCAAGTTAGCACACTTAAGGAGAGAGGAAGAGAGAGAGAGAGAGAGAGAGAGAGAGAGAGTGTGGTAGGTGAGTTCTCATTAGAGGAAGATCCAGACCTAACTTTGGGGACGCAGCTCCGTTTATATAGCTTCTGTGTGTGCTTCTACGTCCACTCACCATTGGGCGCGTGGACCTACTCTCCTCTCCATGTTCCCACGTGTCAGCGCAAATACAACTAAACACCACCTAACAAAACCACCAAACGGCTTCAACGTGCACGGACAGTGCAATTCCCTTCCTTCAGTCTCGTGGTGTCGCATAGCACTCTTGATCGAGATACGTGTAGACGTCCCCCGAACGCCCCGGGAGGGTTAGCTCCCGTTCTGTTCATTTGGGGTCACTACAGCTCGGACTCTTGAATGTCGCGGAGCTCGGCTCACCATGCCGGAAAGACTAATCTAGCCCAGCTCTGAATAGTGCATAACTCCCAAGACCGGTCATCCACCATTATTCTCGCCCAACCGAAATAAGACCTCGGTTTAATACGCACTTAAGATAGGCCGAGCAGAAACTCCTGATTCTGGCCCAACCAGCTCGGCCCAATTTTTCGGTCACAAACCTCCCTCTCAATTGCCCCTTAATTCCGTCTGCGCTAGCGTGATCGGAATTACATTCTCCGACCGGGATCGCTCATCTGTTCAGTCTTTCTCCCCAAGTCATTTACCATGCTAAATTTCACACTAAGTCCCATGACTTGCTCGGCTGGCGCTTTGATTTTTCAAATTGTCCTATTGAGACTGACACCGGTCTTGTTATAGACACATGTCCTCCACTCATTTGCTTCGTACAGCCAACCCTGCTGCCTTATGATGTCTCTTCAAGTTCAAATCTTGGCACTTTTTGCTCCCTTATATATACATCGTATGGCCCCTTATATCTCTTCTCTTACTGTTCATCTTCCTCTCAGACATCCTTCCAGAGCATACCCAACCTCCGATTTTCATTTATTTTACTAGAATCAAAGCTGTCTCTCAAGGAAATTCAACCTTGTCGTTGTCACTGAAACTTCATCTCTCCATTTGGAGCTTCAATCTGTGCCCTAACCTATAAGTTTTTAACTCCTTCTCTGTTCTTCGTCAGTTCTTCGTGCTCATTTCTTCTCTTTATTTTTTATGCTCTTAAACCCTAACTTTCATAGATGAGTCTTAGGATAGGATAATAGTAGCAACAAAATGCTGAAAATGGGGTTAGACTAGGGTTTTCGTCCCATTTAGAGGACACAAAATGTGTTCGCCCCTCATCTTCAACATTGTTCACCATCTTCTATGATGAAGGTGTGAGGATTTGGGATTGATCGAGCTACAAACCTCTGTTTGATCTTAAATCATGCCTTAATCGAGCAAGTCTCTTGTTTGTAGAACCTAGGGGCAAAACCGAGATATTAAACGCATTGAGCCACTCGATCAGGCTAATATCTGGCATGTTCGAGCAATCGGGTTGTCATGCTTAAAATTGGGACCGAGGTGCCATTATCCCCAAAGTGACAGAGCTAAAATCGAGCTCGTTTGCGCGCTTGCGCTATCACTTACACTTGGTTTTTCACTACAGATTCCTAGGGGACTAGATATCTACACAGGGGCTCTCAAAGACCGAGCAACCACCGTGCAAAATTTTGCAAACTTAACAATGCCGTGCTAAACAAGCCGGCAATGGGGTGCTACCACTTCCTTGTCAATACGCCGGGCACGATGACCGCGTTTCGAGAAGTGTATGGCATTCTGGCTAACATGCATCCAAAGCTTGGTGAGGAGGGCATAAACCCATGGGGTAGGCTGGAGTCCTGTCCCTTCACCTTGCTAAGCATAGTCGAAGGAGGGTTACGCTTCCCTATGCGACTCTTGATCTGCGAGTTCCTAAGACGTACCGGGCTCGCTCAAACACAAGTGTCCACCAACGCATTCAGGATCATAAACGGCGTGGCTGAGCTGAACCACCGGATTGGTTTAAACTTGGGCTTGGCCGAGATCTTACGCCAATACGCACTTGGCTGAACTAAGGCCTCTCTTGAGATTGCCAATGCTGACAATGCCAGAATTCTTGGCTAGCTCGTTAGGGCCGAGTAAGAGAAGGATGCTCTGAAGGTCGAGCTAGAAGCTGAAAAGCAAGCGAGGCAGAACGCCGTGGATGAGGCCAACAACCTTGGTTTCAAGGAGGCCAAAGACAACTATATCAAACAAGTTAAAGCTACCAAGGACATCTACTTCAAATCTAGTGGGAAGGCTGCTTGTGAAAAACTTGGCCAAGGATCTAAGACCGAGGTGTTCACCTCTCTTCCTCCCGCCTTCCTGCCGGTCTATTTGATACCCTATGCCAATGAAGTCTTCAACTCTTTGCAAGAGGAGGCTGAAGAAGAGGCTGAGGATGAGGCCGGCCAGAAGAAGCCCGACGACAAAGAAAAAGCTGTCGTGGTCGACCTGGCAGTCGTGACGGAAGGGGCCAGAGATGAGTTTGCCGACCCATCCTCCTTAGCGTAGCCATTAATGCTCCATCTTTTTACTTTGAATTTTTGTAATCGGGCTGCAAGCCCCACCTCATGTATTTAAATGTTCAATTAATGAAAGTTTATAACAACTTATCTCGAGTATTTTTGCAATGTATGTTATGTGTCTTCCCTAAAACCGTGCAATCTGTGCCGGAAAAAGTACCCACTGATTGAACCAGGGAAAATCATCTCAGTTAAAAAGTGGAACATAACGAGTCTGCCTAGTAAAAATGACTTGTGACCAAGTAAAAGCATCTCGGCTAAAATCAATTGAACGAAGTAAAACAATTCATCAACTCAATTGACCGAGCTAGATGATTTCGGTTAAAATAACAGGATTGGACACTTTATCAACTCCGATGACTGGACAAAAATCATCTCGGCTAAAATCATAGATTTGAACAATTCATTAACTGCATTGGCCGAACAAAATCATCTCTGCTAAAACCTTGGAGTTGAATAATTCATCAACTCGATTGGCTGAGCTAAATCATTTTGGCTAAAATCTTAGAGTTGAACAATCCGCCAACTCAATTGATCGAGCAAAATCATCTAAGTTATAAGAAGAGAGTTGAACACTTCATCAACTCCATTGGTCGAGCTAAATCATTTCGGCTAAAATCTTGAAGTTGAATAATTCACTAACTCAATTAACCGAGCAAAATCATCTCGGTTATAAAAACAGAGTTGAACACTTTATCAACTCTATTGGCCGAACTAAATTATCTCAGCTAGAATCTTGGAATTGAACAATTCACCAACTCAATTGACCGAGCAAAATCATTTTGGTTATAAGAACAGAGTTGAACACTTCATCAACTCTATTGGCCGAGCTAAATCATCTCGACTAGAATCTTGGAGTTGAACAATTCACTAACTCAATTGATCGAGCAAAATCATCTCAGTTATAAGAACAGAGTTGAATACTTCATCAACTCTATTGGTCGAGCTAAATCATTTTGGCTAGGAGCAATTGCCCCTTGTTCATTGCACAATCCATTAATCACAACAAATTGGCTAAGCACGGTGACTCTTTGCTATTACGTTCATGAATTTACAAGACGACGAGAAGAATTACATTGGTAAATTGAGAGGAATGTTTGCCCTTCACAAAAAATTACATTGAAAGAAGGGAACTAAAAATAAAAACAACTTCAGATTGGCTGCGTTCCATGGCCGTGGTATAGCTTTGCCATCCAAGTCTTCCAGATAGTATGCCCCTTTGCCCGCCAGATCGGTGATCTTGTAAGGCCCTTCCCAGTTTGCCCCCAGTTTTCCTTCACCCGGCACCAGGGTGTTGCTCATCACCTTCCTTAGGACCCAATCCCCAACTTTGAACGGTCTGGGGTGAACCGTTTTGTTATACTTCCGGGATAGTTCTTGTTGATATGTTGCAACATGGATCAAGGCCTTTTCTCGGCGCTCTTCTATTAGGCCCAATTCTAAGACAATGGCTTCGGCATTCAGGTCGGGCTTAAAATTTTTGCTGCAGACGGTGGGCATATCGATCTCCAATGGGATGACTGCCTCCATACCATATGCCAAGGCGAACGGTGTCTCCCCGGTTAAGCATCTTGGTGTTGTTCGGTAAGCCCAGAGAATATTTGGAAGTTCCTCGGCCCACTTTCCTTTGGCTTTCTCTAATCTTTTTTTCAACCCATCTAGAATGGTCTTGTTTGATGTTTCGGCTTGGCCGTTGGACTGAGGGTAGGCCAGGGTGGAATTATAGAATTCTATCTTTAGTTCCTCACAAAATCCTCTAAACAACCGTCCATCAAATTGAGTGCCGTTGTTGGAGATCAAAGCCTTGGGGACGCTAAACAGTGCTACCACATTCTGCTAAACAAATTTCTTCACATCTTTTTCTTTAATTGTCGCCAAGGGCTCGGCTTTAACCCACTTGGTGAAGTAGTCCGTCGTCGCTATAAAGAACTTGCGATTCCCTGGCGCGGTTGGAAGTGGTCCCACTATGTCAAGCCCCCCTATTGCGAAAGGCCAAGGACTCGTGAGAGGAAGGAGCTCTTTAGCCGACTGATGAATTTGGTGGGCAAACTTCTAGAACTTCTCGCATTTTCTCACACATTTCTGTGCATCTGCCTGCATGCACGGCCACCAGTAGCCTTGCGAAATAGCGCGGTAGGCTTAAGATCTCCCGTCGATGTGGCTCTCACACATTCCTTTATGGATCTCGTAAAGAAAAGTATCGACTCTGTGTGGGTGAACGCATTTGAGGTATGGACCGGTGAATGACTTTTTGTACAAAGCGTCGG